TATTTCTGCTGTCGAGGACTTTGTTGCGCTTGAGGAACGTGCGCTTGGCTGCTTCAACAACTTTTTGCTTGTTGTTGAGGACTCTTTAAAGAGCTGGTTCCGCTTGCATTCGGACAGCGTCAACAGTTGGTGGAGCTTCCTTATTGCCATTGCCGAGCATATTTATGGAAAAGAGGCCGCACCAAAGGAGTTCCAGCAAGTGGACCAGCGTCTGCGGTTTTCGGTCCTTGAACCGACGTTTGGATGCATGTGGACCCTTGCACGCTGCGTCAGCGGCGGTGTACCTGTCACGCCAGACCAGATCATGGGGCTGATTCGTGTCTATGAGGAGGCCCCGAGCTCGGAGATTCGAGTCAAGGTGGTAGGAGCGCTTGGGCATATTGCTCGCCGACAGCCTGGTCATGTTGAAGAAAACCAGCATATCGGCACCTTTCTGCTTAAGCAGGTCGTATCCAAACCGCTTTTAGCGTTTGCTGGCTCGATGGCAGACGATATAGATGTCGAGCCAATTGTGGAGGCATTGGACATTATGTTTGACATATATAGCGACATGGCTTTCGACTACGACGAGCCAGTGTTTGTTCGTGGCAGGTTCCTGGAAAATCTCCGCAAGCTCTATCCGCCACTACGCAAGCTGTCAAAGGCTGTTGATCGTCGAAAACAGCGTGAGCTGCGCGATCGTAGCGACCTGGCGGTCCAGAACCTTCGTGCGTTTGTAGAGTACAAGGCATCCGAGCGCCAGTGACGCACACTTTATTCGTACTCTACTCGTGGACGTTTAAGCATTTGCAAGTGACACTTACTGTCTAATGAATGGTATAACTCAGCATGCTGAAAATGATCTAATGTAATGTCGAATGCACTATAGTACTGGCTACATTGCAGCACGCACAGGTTCTAGGCGGTACTTTAGCTCCCTTCCAACCTTGGTGTCTGGTGCCCACTGATCAAACAACCTGACCAGACGCCGGAGCTCTGTCCGCAGGTCCTCGTTCTGTCTAATATCTGGCTCATCCCAGAGTGTGCGCATGATCCAGGGGATGAAGAACGGATTGAGCTTCTCAGTGGCATTGAACGGGCGATACGACATGTGGATCCGAGGGCCGCTGACGTTTGCGCACTTACCATGAAACCGCCCCTCAGCTGTGCCTGGTCGGAGATAGGCGGTGGGCACAGATGTGGACACATGCGCCGCTGTGGCTACTGGCGATGTGGAGTACAGCAGCCAGCGGATCGCCAGCTTGTAAACCGAAGGTTCGGCGTAGACCGTCGAATGGCCAGAATGCCCCCACAGTGACCCGGCTACAACCTCGCTGAGGTGAATGAGCAGGTCGTGGTCGTAGATGCCCATGTTGCGCAGACGCAGCGCAAACACTATAAGATTTGTCAGAAAGTCGTCGAGATAATGCCGCGCATCGATGTAGACAGCGCGGTACACGTTCTGGTGCGATACTCCTTGCAGGATTGCAGAATACAGCGGCACAACCTCGTCGACCCACGACCCAATGCAAACAAGACGCACGCCCTTGTGCAGGATCGTGCTTAGTGCCGCTACATAGCGCTGGCTCTGTGGCGAGCTTGGATCCATCAGCTCAAACAGCTCACGAGTTGCCTCAGACTCTATGTACTTTATAACAACGTTATCTTTCAGATAGGGCAACGGTCCATGGCTGATTCCGGCCATTGCCAGTAGCGCCACACGCTGCCGTGTCATGTCGATTATCTCCATCTCGATCAGCCGCTCAAGTATTATTGCCGAAACGGGCGTTCCCTGCGAATGCGTAACAACAAAGACAGTGTCTGCTTCCTTCAGCGCATCGACACGCCTGCTCCGCTCGGGCATGAGTATCTTGGCCATTATTTCCGAATGTTTGTTGGATGCGGTGTTGTTAATATCTGCTGCTGTTGTACTTGTTGCTGTTGTACTTGCTGCTGATGTCTTTGGCTTCGGTTTCATCTTAGTATAATCGGCAACGGATGCTGCAGTGGACGCTTCCATGCTTGAGGCTCGACTATTGCTGCTGGAAGCGGCATCAGCATCCTTTGGCATCGCTGCTTGGCCACTCGTGTCTGGATCTGTCGCATCGATGAGTTGAGAAAGAAGCAGCTCCACGCGATCATCGATTTTGCCTTCACCGACCAGAGGGAACAGGCTGATCTGACTGTCGTCGATGTTGACCCCATGGTTTTCCAAAAGATACTTCTGCAATGCCTCGCGCATCATTAAACAGAACTTTTCGGACTTTCCTGTGGGCTCGCCTGCAAGCATCTGTACCATCCGCATTGGAAACCAGCCATGGATGCCGATAATAGCAACCCGTCCCAGACTCTTGGCACCCCGGTCAATAGATTCCTTTATGCTTTCAGCAGCTTGTCCGGTGCGACTTCCAAAGCCATCATCGCTGCCCAGCTGTCCCAGGGCGTCGGCGCTGCTCTGTCCATACAGCATCGAACGAGCCCAGCTAGGCGCCATCTCAATAGCCGATCCTATCGCAGCCAGTCCCATTGTACGCAGCCTTTTGTAAATTGGCTGTTCTGGGTCATGCTCCAACGGACGGGCAATACTCTTTTTCAAAGATGGCTCGGCACTTTGTTCGCTATCGTTTGATTCGCAATCGGTCGTATCGGGCTCATTCGCATCAGATGACTTGTGATTCAGGATAGCCTCGTTAAATAGTAGATCCGGTAAAAGTACATTATCCTTTTGGTCCGTGTTGTGATCTTTCAAAGCTGGTCGTTGCTCTGGGGTACCAGGTTTTGACCCGACTACCTGATCTGTCGAAGGAAGTACTGGATTTGACAGCGGAGCGATAGCACCTGCCTTGGACGATGGCTTGCTGCTGGACTGGCCACCAAACCATCCCCACGCCCATTTGCCCTCATCAGCCTTTTTCAGCTCGACCTTTGCTTCGCTGCTCTCGTCGACACTGTCATCATGGGCGATGTCTTCGCTATTGCTATTGTGCGTGTTTTGGTCAGCTTGTTCAGCTTGTTCGGCATGGTCGAGCTTGGTCTCCACGGGCTTTAGGTGCTCCATTGCAGACTTGCGCTTATCCCCGGCTGAACCAGCGACGTCACTGTCACTAGGCGGCCCACTAGATGAGAACCGTGAGAATGATGGCCACATGTACATGCTCCTGGGACGCTTGTCTGCATGCTTCTTGTCCTCGTCTGGCCGCAAAGAGGAACTTTCAACAGAGACAGGGGCAACAACTGCGGCTGGCAGCGTCTCTCTACGGGTCCGACGGGAAGATTTCTTTGACATGGTTGACCCAGCATCGTCCTCTTCTGTACCTGTCGTCGTATCATCGCTCTGATTGTTGTCTCCGGCACTGACGCTACCCCGTTTGCCTTCGGACTTGCTGAGGGCAGTAAGGGGCTTCATCATAGCCAACGTCGGCTTGCTTGCCGTGTGAAAGGTATTTGATTTCGTCAAACCATGTTCGGACTTTAGCTGGGAGTAAATCTTGCCGCGTGCCTCCACATGATGCGAGTCGCTGGAGAACGTGGTCGCAATGCTTGGCTGGCTTCCAGTGGTCAGACACTCTGTCACATCGCTGCCAATACCGCCAACCGTGCCAATACTGCTCCTGGTGCTGGACAATATCGATGCTGGGCGGAGCGAGCGAGCGACGCCTTCTCTCCTGATAGTGGCCGGTAATGTAGCAGAGTTTCTCGGGGTTCTCGGAGCATTGGTGCCTTGTGAATCGACACTTCTGTCACTGCAAGCTGACCAGCTGCGTGGTCGGTCATCTAGCTGTAACAGCTCGGAGACAAGCTGTGACGCAACAAGCTCTGGAGACGACGCTGTCTGTGAATTCGATGCCATGGAGCCAAGAACAGCTTGTTTTTTGCGTTCTCCGCCAGAAGCGCCCATTTGCATGAGAATGAGCCCTCCCAATTACGAATTCTACAAAGAATAAAGAGAAATTGTATATGTATGTATATATTGAAATAAGCTAGAAAGCGAAAGGCAGAGAAAGAGAAACAGTATGTTGTGGCTGGAAGGCGGGGAGGCGCTTTTTGCCTGCCATAAATGCACGTGTGTACGAGCCAGTGCCGACGTCACTTGACCTCGTCACCATCAAAGATTAAAGCTGCGCAGAAAGTCTTCCTCCTCCTCATTCTCGTCTTTGCTATCGCTGTTGCTGTGTGTTTTCAGATCAGTAACATTTTCAAACCATACATTCTCCCCGTAGCATATACACAGTTCTTCGTCGGCCGCTATATCACGCAGAGCTACATATTTTATAAGCGAGTTCTGGATGTCCCGTACAAAACCGACATTCTGCTGACCAAAAGCCTCGTGGTTAAACATGCTTCCAAGCCCCAATGCCAGAGCATAGCTCCCGCCACTCCAGCAGTAAGTGTAGTGGTCCAGCTGTGTATGCTTTCCGTGCTTTCTGTATTCGTCCACGCCAAAAACAAGCGTTGGAGACACATGTACCAGCGTTTCTTTAGGTATCGGATCCCGTGTAAAAACACCACGGCCTCTCTGCGGGTGTGTGCGCAATTCAAGGCAGCCAAGCGTTACTAGTGGTTGTGCGTTGTCTTCCATCCCTTATTTGTCTATTTGTAAAGTTGTGTATAACGTGTATTGAATAAAATATTAGAATAGTTCATATGTGATGCTGTTGCGGCTGCCAGGAATAAGACAGAAACAGTACCTAATGTAAGATCACAACTACCACAATGCCAGGTCTGACTTTTGGGATTCGGTAAACTAAAATAAAACGTTTGCCACAGCACACAGACTGATGATGGACATTCACAGCTGAGCTTGCTAAATATATAAATATCCACTTGCTCCCGGGTCCTAATCGGAACACATCCCAAAAAGTGCCGCTCTAAGATGAAAGCAAATACCATTCCATGTGTCTTCAAACATCACCGTTGCTACAAAAAGAAATGTGCGGCAAAAAGAAAGTGCAAAGAAGAGCAGTAAGTATGTATAGATTTTATTTTTTTGGTACAAAAAAACTATAATTAGGTGAAAATTGGCTCCATTAGCTCAGTTGGTTTAGAGCATCGTGCTTATAGTGCAGAAACACTATGCTATGTCACGCGGATGTCGCCAGTTCGATCCTGGCATGGAGCATTTTTACCCTTTTTTTTTGAAAATCTTTAAGAAGCCATGTACACATATTCGAGAAATCGGACATGACAGAGCGCATTGATTGTGTTTAGAAAACAACTCTGTGGCTTAGAGAACATGGTCGGTTCTGGCAACAAAAGGGAGTTGATATTATTGCAGAAATTTGAATCGGGAAAGGATGAAAATGGTACACATACAGGCACACTCTTGCGCTTAAGTTCGAGCAAGAGCGTCGATGAGGATGTCGTTTTCCATGCGCAGACGACGCATTTTTGATTTGTTGCGTAGCAGCCTGTCCTTGCGAGAAGAGACCTGGTCACGAATGTAGGCAAGCTGGGCCTCAAGCAGGGCGGCCTGGCGTTCTGACTCGGGCAGGTCGGGGCGGTGAATTAAATCGCCGGAGCTCTCGCTGGAATCACCAGCATCGTCATCGTCGTTGTCGTCGTTCTCAGATTTAGGATAAGGCTGCTGGCGACGCCGGTAACGCCGACGCTTACGAGAGGGGTTTAGCTGGGAGTTTGTGGTAGCAGCGGCGGCGGCAGAGGTCAGCGCCAGTGGAGCGTCCTCGAGAGACGACGCGTCAGAGGCATAGTCGACATGCCTTGCGCGATGATAGCGCGATGGGGCAGCAGTGCCGGAGGAGGACGCTGGCGGCTGTGTCGAGTGAGTGTTGATGTGTTTTGTCAGAAAGTCTGAGCGCTTATATACTTTGCCGCAGCCCTCGACGGGACACAGATAGGAGCGGTTGCCGGTGTGTTTTTTGAGGTGGGTTACAAGGTCCAGACGGGAGGACATTGGCAGACCACCGGTGTCGCACAGGTACCATTCGCAGGAATTCGCGTTGTCTGGCGAGCGCTCGCAGTCAATGTGGGCAGTGAGCAGATGGGAGGCTAGTTGGTGAAAGGTGCCGAATTCGGCGGAGCAGGAGCGCCAGGCACACGCAGCGCGCGCAACAGGAGCCGGCGAACGGGCAGCAGGAGCAGCAGCAGGCGAGTCGGGCGGCATACTTTTTCGGGTTGGAGAAAAAGGATATTAGGTATGGCTATACAGATGCTGCAGAACAAAGGAAGCAAAGAAAAGAATGCTTGGGGAGGGAAGAGAGCGAGCATTCACATCAACCGATAATCTTTTTTTCATTCATCACACAGAGCAAAAGCGGGGAGGGGGCTAGAGATGGGAAAGCCTTGCAAGTCCGCATTTAGTCTTTTAAACAAGAGGCGGCTGCAGCCTGGCCTGGCTTGCAATTAAACCAAAAGCGGCGATGGCTTTGGACGACAATTGGTGTTGGGTAGCGCGCTTTAGCCGGACGACACGCAACAATGGCGGCGGCGAGTGGCTTTGAAGGAATCGTCGTGCACTTTATTTGCTTTCGCTGAAGACAAGGGGGGAGGAGGCAAACTTCAAAGCCTTTTTTAGTCTTTAGTTGCATTGCACACGCAGGATGCGCGCGGCAAGGCAGGCAGGCAGGCAGGCAGCATCAGGTTATGACAATCCCAGGAGCACTGGCGCCCGTGCTTGGACAGGGCGCAGCGACATCCCAGTTCCCAAAGCACTCCCGCCCTATATAACGCAGGCCATCCGCCGCCATGGACGGCTAATGGTTTGCTCAGCTGCTTTGCACACATTTTCCCTTTTTATGCCCCCTCTTGACGGACTATTATGCCCCTGTAACCAACTATCTAACAGACCACTATTACGCACAGCTCCAGCAGCTTATCGCACACAAAGGACAAAGGACACACCATCATGGACATCAGAGAAATAACAGACAACTCGGTGCTCGGCGACAAGCACCGCTCGCACCAT